TTTAAAATTAAAATTATTTTGTAAAATTATAATATTTAGAATACAAGATAACGTAGTTATACATGTACCCTACGAGAAACAATACAGAAAGTGAAGAAGATCACACAACTATATTGCTTGCAAATCGTTAAAAATATTATATTCGTAAATCAAGTATTTGAATTTGAATTTTGATTATGATCAATGTTGAAAGAGAATTAAAGATAGCGTAAGCTATACGCTAATCTCTTATAATTTTTGGACAATCGAAGGCAATGTAAATCACACATCAACGTTATAAAAAATTATATCATATAATAAAAATGGAGAAATGATTTGTTATTTAATTTATTAAAATTAGAAATATGATTCAAGAAATTTTAAAATATGAAATTAATTTCATTTAATGAAATGAATAAATAAATTTGAATTGATTAAAAAAATATTTAATAATAATGATAATAATAAAAATTAAAACTTTGTTTGATAAATTTATGTTATATAAAACCTAAGGTAACGTTGGTACACGTAGGTTCTAATAATTTATAACATGTAAAGGTAGAGTTGCTACACATTAACATTATAGATTATTATGTTAATAAAATAAAATTATTGATTGATTAGTAAAATAATGATTATAGGAAATACATTTTGATTAGTTATTAAGATAAAATTTTAATTAATTAAAGATAACATATGATTCATTAATATTGCCAAAAACCTCGGTAACGTAGGTACACATAAACTTTATCAGTTTATAACACACAACGATAGAGAAGTTATACGGTAATATTATAAATTGATATAATTATATTTTTTATTATTATTGTAAATATATATATATATATATATATATATAAAGAATTTATAATATAAGAAAAGATAAATCATAAATATAAAATTGAATCATCATCCACATTCTACAAATATACAAAATAAAGAAATAACAACTTTAAATAATAAATAACAAACATAATAATTAAGACATAAACAATGAGATAATATAAAAAATTAGAAAGAATTTACTGCTAATGTTAGAATGAGATAAATTTTACAAATAATAAAAAAACAACAACTCAAAGATTAATAATAATAATAATAATAATTATAAAAATTATATTGCACTTAATAAATTCTTACTTTTTATTATAATTATTCTAATTATTGTTGCTAAAAAATGAAATCAATAAGTGGAATTAAGAACATTAATAAAACAAATAATGAAATAAAATAAAAGATAAAATAATACTAAAGAATAAACTGTATGAATAAAATAAAATCTAGAATATAAATGATAATCTTAAATAATAATTTCTATTTTTTTAGAAATTAAAAAAAGAGCTAAATAGGAATAATAAAAAAAAATGAATGATTAACAACGGAACAACAACAAACTAATTGGACCGAAATAGTAACAATAACAAAATAAAAAGAATAATAAAAAATCTATTTCAGCATCCGAATGCATATTGCTTTCCATACATACATAGAGTCTATTCATTTAATGCATCCATAGGTACTGAACAAAATTTTAATGCATGAATCACGTTTCATTTTTGCAGGTTGCGTGCAACAGGCCCAGCAGCGTAGATCAGCAAATTTCAAATCACTTTATATCAATGATAATAAAAAAATAAATAGTAAAAAAAAATCTAAAAAAGCTGAAAAGTTTTATCACATATTTAAATAATCCTCTCCTTTTCCACTTGTGTTATATTTTAATACTTTTTCAACAAAATTAAAAGAAATGAGGAGTCCATTTCATATTCTGAGAAGAGGAGAATACCTGAGCTACGGTAGAAGATGCTAAAATGACAGAAATGGTAATCAACGGTGGTTTGATCGGTGGTCCATTGCTTTCCTTCTCCGAATAAGAAATCTCCTTCTTGTTAAAGATTTTTGCCGCTCTTTAAGTTTCTTTCTCATTTTTTTTAAGCTATCCGTTTCCAGATTTTTCTTGTGATTTTATACCAGTCATTTTTAGAGTTTTTACAAAATATTAAAAATCTCTAATTTCCTTTCTTATATTTAGAGTTCAGATGCGCTAGGTACACAATGCAAAATTTACGTTTTTAGGGCTAAAATTATTTTCTAAATTTTATATATTTTTTGTGAAAACAAAAGTACAAAATTTTGAGAATAACCGTGAAAAAGATAAAAAAAAATAGTATTTATAGTTGTCTCTTTTTACTCGTTCATATCAATTAGAGATATTTTAAAATTAGAGTTGATTAGAACTGAATAAAAAAATGAATTAATTTTTGTTTAAACCAGATGTACAAAAAATACGAAGATAAATAGCTGTTAAAAAAAATCATAATTTAAAACGATTTGTATTAAATGAAATAGTAAAAAACCTTTAACTAAAAATAAAGGTTGTCAGGAAAATATGTAAATAAAAAAACACACAGCATTAAGACATTTTTAAACAAATAAACTTCGTAAACTAAAAAATTAAAACCTGCAACTCACTTTTTGATGTCAAATCATAAACCCACATAAAAAAAGCCATATTTTAAGGAGTCTTGCAATTTCTCCTTTTCGGCGTCTTCACGTTTAATCATTAATCAAAGTTGTGACACATTTTTTATTCAGTTCTACAAAACAACAATGACTTCTTAGACCATTCTGAACACAAAAGTCTGCAATATCTTGTAAGATAATGATAATCTATGCATGCGGTTGTGACATTAACAAGTCTCTGGTTTCCTTGATTGAAATATTATCAACTGGGAATGCTGAAATCATTAATTAATTAATTAATGCGGCAGTGCTGAGAAAAGACCACCTATATACAGTTTGTGAACTCACTTCAGAATTTGCACAAATAGACAACGGATTTAATAAAAGTTATGAATTATTTCACAAATCCAAAATTGTGATTAGTTTATAGATAGCTTTATCATTATTATATTTTTTTCAAAGACCATACTATTAGGAGTTTGCTTAACTCTAATCACAAGCACTATCAATGAAATTTGAAGTCACACGTGGAACTTGTCGAGAGTAACATAATCGATATTCAATTAGCACTTTGGCTCCTAGTCATGTATGACAAATTCAAGTTGCTTTTAACATGGCAGTGTAGAAACATTGATCCAAATGGCATTCTAAACACTTTTTCCCATTGTTTCGAGAAATAAAATTCGTAAAATTCAAGTGGAAGAAATACTATTTTACACACTTTAGCAGTCCAAGTATACACACGAAGGATTGACATTTAATCACACGATTTTTAATTACAGCCAATTGAGTTCATTAGAAACCATAATTTATATGAAAATTTCAAAATGGGATGCCACCAAGTAGACAACAAAATGGGTATTTTCACCCTCACAAGTCACTGACCCAATAATAACAAAAACGGAAACATACAGAATAAGCATTTGTGCAGCATTGTTCAGATTAGATTCTAACAAGCCTCAATGGCAAAACATTCCTCGTGTGTCCATCAATGCATTCAAGATTTTAAGTAGTGTGTCCACGGGAATTTCTAAAAGAGAATTGAAGAACTTGAACTCAAATATAAAAAATCTTTAAAGGTTTTCAACGCTATATTGCTTGTATCCACGATTGATTTGACTTTGGCAACTAATGAATGAAAAGAAAAATAGTCAATATTCCTTAGTCGGTGTTGAGTGGACAAAATGAGCCATTGGGTTGAACTTCTCATTAGCGTTTTTAAAGATTCAATTTTTAAACTCGTTCAGTCAAAAAAAATTTAAAAAGCAAAAAAAAAAAAGAACAACAGGGCAATTTAAGTGAAGGAAAAAGAATCAAACAAAAAATAAAAAAATGGAAATGCGAAGATACTGAGTTGGGGAGCAGGGGACCAAGGAAGCCCTTGGGATCAATTATTACTCACCCTAGCGAACCCAAATTTGGATTCTTTCCAACCAAACTTTCTGCAGCCTTTCTCCAGCCAAATTTTAATCGTTGATTTATATTTTAAATAGTTAAAATTAGTGAAAGGGAAAATGTGAATGAGTATTAAAATAATACTATAAATGCTTTATAGCTGCTGCACCATCTTGTTGCTGAAGAGAATTTAAATCCTAGCCAACCCTGGTGGCATAAGTATTCACCAGAGGTATCTTTTGGTCGATAATAGAGTTGTCAATATGACTAGACTAATCTAAACTCATGCAAAGTTTAAGCTTTACATTTAAAGTTCACAAATTAAATCAAGTGTTTCTAGTCTTACCTGATTAAAACCGATGTGAGTTTACCTATAAAAGTCCAAAATAGTCGAATGATTGTCAAGCTTAGATGTCATTTTGTGAGCTCAAATTTAAAAGGTCAGGCTCGGTAAAAGCCTCACACATGTTATAAGTTAGCTCAAATAAATCAAGTAGCTAGTTTTGTCACCTTTTAACTGATAATCAGATTATTTTCTTTTGAGATGAAAAGATGATTCCCATAATGGTTAAAAATGTGTGATACCAACTTCGTGGTTGGCCTATTAGTATTCTGCTTGACTTAACAGCTGCAGTTGGACCGACGAGGACAATTGAAATGAGTGAAGATCAGTATTAGCTTATGGGCTACCAACATCATCTGTTTGCTTGCTAGTTTCCAAGTGCAGGTGTGAAAAAGAGCCTTGAAATTTTGTTATAACGCATCACTAGTGAATAATGCCAACAATAATTAAAGCAAATACTTCTAATACATGAGGTAATATAATGTCAATTATTAATTTATTTTCTGTTAACGTAATTGAATTTTTCTTAAATAAATCAATATTTAAACAAGTGTTTGCATTTTTAATTCGCACAATGGCCAAGAACACAAGGTCTTTTATAAACCTCACGTTTCCATTTTTTCCATTATCTAGTTGGGGGTCAAACTGCTCGCTGACTGCGGAAGAAGGGTTGAGAAAATCGTCCAAAGGAGAAGAAAAAGTGTACATGTTCTCAATCCATGTGCATGCAATGAAGCAGGAAGATAGAGATTAGGAGGGAAATATGTAGCTACAAAAGGAGAGAGTAGACCAAAAGATGCTTGAAAAACAGACATAAAGTAGCTTCTTGCTCAGTTGGAGTAGAAAATTTTGATATGGATTGAGAATACAACAGAAAGGGGCCTACTTAGCCTAAATTACAAAACATATACAACAATGATTTTCAATAAAGGCAATAAGAAGGTAGTGATTTGCCCTCCTATCTATTCCATAAGAATCAACCTACACCTTCCCACTGCATTATGTTAACAACCTAAAGAACTAAAAGAGCAATGGAGATGAGAAGGCAAGTGATTAAAAGGGAAAAATCAAAGAGCATATCTTATCAGTAAAGTAGCAAGGAAAGCAACCATTACAAAATAATGAAGATGACCATCATCTGCATAAAAATATCCTTCCCAAATTCAGAGTCCTTGTCCCTATTGTGCATAACAACTGTTGCTCCGGTTGTCCATGAGTCCTTAACAAAGTCTCATCATATATTCTGTAACTGGGAAAAGGAGATACGGATTACTGAGCCAGAAAGTGCGCTTGCATGCTTGCACACAAGGGCTTCCGTAGCCTGTTCCTCAGTCTCAAACTGAACCAGAGCCTGTTTCTTCCCATTCATCTCAAAGACTTTGCTGTTCACAATGGTTCCGTGCTCCTCTACAAGGCTCACAATCTCCTCTTCAGTGATGTCTTGTGGAAGTGTGGACAAATGGATCATCTTTGTGGGGGAGCAGCAATACCGGTAGTTTTTAGCTGCATTGCGATTGAAACGATTGAGATTTGAATTGACGTATTCATGTGTCTCAGCACCTTGGGTTATGTTCGGATGCTTGGAGTAGTTGACCTCTAATCGCTTCCCAAACAACATGGCTCCCTACATCTCAATGTTGAAAATGTTAGTGACCAGCTTAAAGAAGAAAGAAGGTATACAGATTAATCTGAAGGATGACAAAAGGATTCAACAATCCAGTTGAAATGTGCACTTTCACAAAAATTTGCTACCAATCCAGTATAGAAAATGAAGAACAAATTTAACAATTCTATTTTCTTACTGAAGCAACACAACTGATCAATCAAAAAATTTCGTTTTCAAATTTGATGGCATTAATCAATGTCAATTCATCAGGATGTTCAAAAATGATTTTTGTATCAACGTGCATCAATATCAATAATGCAACAGAATCAATGCATGCCAAACAACAAAAACAAAATTATTCATGAACAAAAAATATAGATCAGACGTCAACATCTTTTATAGTGAAAATTTGTTTAGAATAAACACAAAAAACAAACGTTTCCACTCCATATAAAATAGATCCTTCAGTTTCAGTCTTGTTCCATAGAATCGGGGAAATAAAACCACTAACAAATGAAAATAAATTTAAGACTTGGGTGAAAGATATTCATGGACCATTGAAAACAATGAGAAAAGTCATGGTAGCAAATTCCTAGTAGAGGAAAATGTACTTTGATTTGAAGAATAACAAAATATATGCCAACTTGAGTAAGGATATCAAAAAAATATATATGGTGACAAAGGTATAAATGAAACAAACCTTCAGAAAGTGTACAGCCAATTCAGCCTGGAAACCATCTCCCATCTGGATAAGTGCGTGATCTGGTTTATTTCGGAGAAGTTTAATTCTCACAATGTTCCCATAAATGGAGAACAAGTTGAATAGTTTATCCTCATCTATTCTCTGAAATAAACAGATTTCAAGCTAAATAAACTAAAGAAATGGAGAGAACTTTATAGCGGAAGGCAGACAAAGTGCTTACATCAGGATTAAGATTTGAGACAAGAACTGTACACCTGTCATTTGTCCCAGTTATTCCAGGAGGCAAACCTCCTCCAAAAGCAGCTGCAATGGCTGAAGCATTGGGCATCTATAATTCAAAACACACTACTAAATAAGCTTATCTTCTATAAAAAAATGGAAGAAAGAAAACAGCTTGTTTCATGGGTTTCTGTTGTAAGATTACTAAAATATTATTGCAGTAAGATGTTCATATTATCATCTCATTTATCTCAAGAAGCAAAATCCCAAAACACACTCCTCTCTCCCAATCCAACCCAATTAGAAGAGCAAAATCAACTTGAAATCAAAGCCCTAACATGAAGTTCTAATTGTGAGATCAACAAAAAATCCCACAAATTGGTTGGCTACAAATATACAAACTTGATGTCCCATACCTTTCTATTTTAGGAAGATCAGAAAACAAAGAAATCAACCAGCACGCATCTCTAATGCTAGTTTCATAAGATACAAATTGAATGATAATAACTTCTTCCCATATCGAATTGGGACCTCAACTTGATGTGAAAAATACCCACCTGTGGAAATCCAACTGGAAAAGGAGAAAATGGCAAACATCAGTACACTAAAAAAAAACTCAATCCGGAAAATAAAGCAAACCAGAAAAATCAGTTAAAAATTTTTAGCACCTGTCCTGGCCCCAGAACCTTGAGCAGCATACATGTTTCCTGCATCACCGTATCCAGGCTGCTTAACAGAAGATGAAGGGAAAAAGTATATATTAGAAGCGTCTTCGCAAAGATCAATTAGAACATTTAATTATTAAATAGATAAATAAGAAACCAAAGAGAACATACTTGTGAAGGTCTGCCTTTCTGCTCTGTAGGGAGATTTGGGTTTGTGAAGTCCCTGTGAACAATGAGAAAAAAAAAATTAACAACTGTGTGAAGCATAACATATTAAAAAGAAATTAACATGTGAACGAAAACAAATACACAAGAACAGACTGAATCACCTTGAACGGTCATTGTTGTAGTTCACTTGTAATTCATCAAGGCTGCAATTAAAATGAATTAAATTTCTATACAACATAATGTGTTTGGCGGAGGGGGTGTTCAAAGACATGATAGCATAAGTTCTATAAACCCACAAGCCCATACAAAACAAATTTCCTCAGATAAAATTCAACATACTTTGAGAACTGAATGTCAAGCTGACAGCAACCATCATAAATATTGCGTCCCTATAAATTTCCAAAAGTTCCATAACAATTCAGAAGCAATGTCAGAATTAACAAGCCAAGTAAAGCTGAAAGAAAATGTCAAACAACCTGAAGTGTACTTCTTGCTATAACAGCACTCTGACGTGATTGATATTGGATGAGAGCCTGAAAGCCTACAATGTTTGAAATCACATTGACAAAACCATAAGTAGAACACACTAATTATACAGGCACAAATAAAATATTATGATAACTTTGTCCATAAAATGCAAAAATCCTCATAACAGATGACAGGGTAAGGGCATATTGATGTTGAAAAAGAAGAAGCATTGTCCTTCACAATAAAAAACCAGAGCCACTACAAATTCACTTATATTGAAGAACACTGTTCTACTATTTCCCCATTTACACACACAACACAACCAAGTTTTATCCTACTATGTAGATTTGTTACATGGATCAATAGATGAGACTATGGCGCCTTTCAAATACAAAACTTTCAGCAAAATGTTTTTCTGTTCACATAATAAAGGAAAAAAGAAAATATATTTGCATATTTCAAAACAATTAATTGCATGACCAAAATATAACCTCAATCCCCCTAAGTATAGCCAAGAAACACAAAAAGTTAACAGGGAAGAAAAGAAGAGAAATGAAGAAATCTGAGAGAATCTGACCAGCTGACTTCTGAAATGTTACAATCTTTTCCACAGATCCATGGGGAGAAAATACTTGATACAGCACATCCACTGTTATAGGATACAGCATGTGATGAATTGTAACTAAGAGAATTCTGTTTGGCTGTGCATCCAGAGAGTTCCCGACAGCAGGACAGCATAGAGAGAGAAGAGATAGAGAGAAAGGAGAATAAATAGAGAAGTACATGATAAAGAGAAAAAGAAAACTTCAGAATTTAACAATTTAAGACCCCACTGAAATGGAATAGTCTAAGATGACAATACAAAAAATATAGGGAGAATAGCATATATAAAAGAAAAAGTACAAATGCCCAAAAAAGGGCCGATCAATTCTTCTCAACTTCGTAAGCAATCAACAAGATGAAGCATATACAAAATATAAACAATAAAGGGGCCAACCTCATCGCCTCGTCCTTGATTTTGATCCATTGTTGTTAGTTCTTGATGTGAAGAAAACTGAACATACACATTCCTCCCCCTAGAACAAAACAAAAATACAGTAATATTGTTAAGGCAATCTTAATATGCATGGAATTAAATAGAGTAGTACAAATCTCTGAATATGACACCAAAAGGCAAAGATTAAGTTATCAAAACAATAGCCAATGCTGCCATGAACATTATAGAAAAAATGAAATAAACAAGCTATTTGTACCTTATGCTTGGCTGAATATTTGCATAAAATTGTAAAGCATTAACTGCAGTAGGAACATCTTGCATTTGGAGAAGAGCCTGCAAATAAGGCAGATTTACAAGTAAAAAGATGAAATGAAACAACCTTAAGTTTCTTAGGAAAACAGACAGTCTTGTTTAAAGGCATAAAAAAGAAAACCTGATTTTTTGCACGCAGCATCACAAGCTTTGTTATGACACCAAAAGGCTGAAATAGCTGAAGTAAATCATTCTGCAATCAAAGTAGGAAAGTTTATAAATCTTCAAAAACTTCGATAGTAAAAACTACTTGTAAAGGAAACATACTTCACTCTCCCACTAAGACAACAAATACTAAGATTTATAATTATAAATTAAAATACTCATTTCAACTCTGCTAAGACAGTTATTTTCAGATATACAGTTACCCCCATTTTCATTCAACCTCTTGGCCAATGAATAGCTCTCATCACTTAGCCATGCATGATCATAATACCACAGGTACAAAACACAAAGGCATCCAATAATATATATATATATATATATATATATATATATATATATATATAGAGAGAGAGAGAGAGAGAGAGAGAGTACTTCAGATATTTCGTGCCCCACATTTCGAACGTGAATGACTTTGGAAGGTTCAGTCATTGCAAATTAACTGTAAAAAGCAGGGAAAAATTAAAATAAAATCAATAATATTGAACCGTTTTCTTTTTACTTCTTCAGTTTATGGATAGCATCGAACGCCAACAGTTCTCTAATCTGAATCAACCTCAAAGCAAGCAACTGAAGTAAAAGTTCACATTTGGCATGCTCGAAAATTCTCACTCTGCAGTGAATAACACCCCCAAAAAGCTAAAAAGGTATCTTCCATTCCAATATTTTGCAAAACCCAATTGAACTGAATAACGATCGATGCCTATAAATCATAAAGCGAAGGACAGAATCGTGGGGCCTCACGGAAGAAACACAAATCAGGTACGAAGAAGAAGAAAAAAAAAAAGAAGAAATTTTTATCTGTCACACAATCAAACGCAAATGAAAGTCGCAAACCCAATTGGAGACCCGAATCAAGGGAGTGTACAGAACAAAGAACAGTAAAGAAAATCAAAAAGAAGAAAAAGGGTATATCGAAAATCGAGCTCACAGCCCTAAGGTTGCAATAATTTGTGACATCTCAGCAAACAAAACACACAGCACATTCCTCCGTTTAAAATGGAGAAGCAGATAGCGAGAACTTGCCTGATAGAGTGAGAAAGAGAGAGGAAGAGAGAGAGAGAGAGAGAGAGAGAGAGAGAGAGTTTAAAGAGGAGTGACACGCATGATGTGGTGAATGTGTTACCCTATGTTATATTATGTAACTGGCTTGGGCTTAATGTGAGGGAGAGATAACCTTTGATTGAATTTAGGGTTCCAAGTTTGAAGATTTTCCCTGCTTTGTTGGTCACTCTCATCACACTCAACCACTACGAAAACTTATCCGCCTGTTATTGAATTGGCATTTCGTGCCTATTTGGCCATTCCTTTTTTATTTTATTTTATTTTAATAGCTCAGTTTTATAAGGATTGAATCTTAAATTCAACCAAATATTTACTTAATTCGATATAATAATCACCCGATATTGAAGTTAGGAAGATGGTGAGTTCATAAAAAAAATGGAGAGTGAAATATCTTTATTTGCTAAATGGTTCGTTAAGAATAGAAAAATATACTTCATACTTAACAAAATCTTTAATTAATTGAAAAGATGTTTTTTAAATATTTTTATTGATTTAACCTTTCAATTTGAGTTTAAATATTTTAAAAAATCAAGTCTTTGATCCAAATCATGGTTTTAATAGAGGTAATATTTTGTTACTTAGCAGTGGAAAAAAAAACATCAATTTCATATCTATTGTAAAAAAAAGTATTTCCATAATTTAATATTAAAATATTACTTTAATTACATTTTGCATGATTTTATTAAAAACTTCATATCTAGAAGTAATTTTAGTAATATATTGGAATTTCATTATGTTTATTAAAAATATTTTTCTTTAAACTGACATTTAATCAAATTTAATTATACAAAATTAGAATTATCCCCGATCAAGTCATATAGGGTTATAGGACTTATCTTAGCACACACGTATAAGAAAGTTTTATAAGGCATACATAGTGAAAATATCTTATATCTTATAAGAGGAATATATCCTTTTAATTGGAACCACAAATTCATGGGTGAAACTACCTATATAGGGTTATGGGGCTATGCTCTTCCATTGGCTAATTTATTGGATAACATACTTTGAGTTGATGTAGTTAGCTGTTTCCTTGAACTTGTTCTAGTGAGTGCGTTTCCGACTTTAATGCGTAGAAATTTGGTGACTTGACATGTTGCTAACACAAATTAGATTAAGCTATGGAAGCAAAATCACCCATGGTTTACTGGAATGCTTAGCTCTCCCTCATCCTAGGGCAAAAATACCCCTTATGCACCCAAATTCATAAAGGACTAAATTACTAACCAATGTAAAAACCCTTTTCACATAAAGATTTAGTTGCAGTTTTTAAATTAATTGATGACTCTTCATCTTTACCTTTCATTTTAATAAACATATATTTTAAGGGTGGAATTCTGGTAGTCCATAAAAGAAACTGCAAACATGATCCATGTTATGTTTGATAAAACCCTGAATCTGATATAACGGAGACATTTTTTTAGATCCATCAATAAAAAGTAGGTTCTAACAATCAATATGTTTGTAATCTACCAGAATCCTTTATGTAATGTTACCATAGGAAAGTTCCTAGTGTGTCATGGATCTACAACTACAATCCTTTCTGCCGTCATTTTTAGACAAAGGTAATCAATTACAACAATTATGATTTTTACGGCACATTAAATGTCAGTGAAAATGGTTTATCGGGGTATTTTAGTTTTTCTGATTGACAAATAACAGTTCTACAAGATAAATACATTATCTATTTTATTTTATTAGCTTACCACTGCAGGCGTGACAAATAACCTCGAATTTTTCATATAAAGTGTCACGTAAGGATAAAGTTAATAACACTTTCTTTAATACTATCTCTATTTTTTTTAATTTTTTTTAAAATCCCTTTGATTGTCTGGTAAATGAACAACAATTTAAACCAAGTATTTGCTTTCTTAAGATTAAATAATAATTAAAGAAGCGTGTCAAAGTATGTTAAAAAAATGCATTGCTAAAATTGTCCGAATTCATTAATATATGAATTAAATTGTACAATGGCCAATGACATAATAAAGGCCCTTTCTTAACCTCACGCTTCAAATTTCCATTATCTAGTTAGGGGTCGGGCAACCTGCTGACTGGGAAAGAAAGGGATTGAAAAAAGCAACCAAAGAAGGAGGAGGAGAAACAATGTTCTCAATCCATGTGCATGCAATAAAAAGGAAGAATAAAAGTTGAAGTCAGAGATTAGGGGGAAGAGGTAAGTATGTAGATACAAAAGAATAGAGTAGACAAATAGATACTTCAAAAACACACACAAAAAGCAGCTTCTTGCTCAGTTGGAGTGGAAAATTTTGATATGGATTGAGAATACCAAAGAAAGAGGCCTACTTAGCCTGAATTACAAATCATTCATACAACAATGGTTTTAAATAAAGGCAATAAGAAGGTAGTGATTCCCCCTCCTTTCTATTCCTCAAGACTCGACCTATCCGCAAACACAAAATCTACACCTCCCTACCGCATTATGTTAACAACCTAAAAAACTAGTAGAGCAATGGAGATGAGAAGACAAGTGATTAAAAAGAAGAAAAATCAAAAGAGCAGATCATATCAGTAAATTAGCAAGCAAAGAGACCATTACAAGATAATGAAGATGACCACCATCTGCATAAAAATATCCTTCCCAAGTTCAGAGTCCTTGTCCCTATTGTGCTTAACAACCGTTGCTCCGGTTGTCCATGAGTCCTTAACAAAGTCTCATCATATATTCTGTAACTGGGAAAAGGAGATACGGATTACTGAGCCAGAAAGTGAGCTTGCATGCTTGCACACAAGGGCTTCCGTAGCCTGTTCCTCAGTCTCAAACTGAACCAGAGCCTGTTTTTTCCCATTCATCTCAAAGACTTTGCTGTTCACAATGGTTCCGTGCTCCTCTACAAGGCTCACAATCTCATCTTCAGTGATGTCTTGCGGAAGTGTGGACAAATGGATCATCTTTGTCGGGGAGCAGCAATACCGGTAGTTTTTAGCTGCATTGCGATTGAAACGGTTGAGATTTGAATTGACGTATTCATGTGTCTCAGCACCTTGGGTTATGTTCGGATGCTTGGAGTAGTTGACCTCTAATCGCTTCCCAAACAACATGGCTCCCTAAATGTTGAAAATGTTAGTGACCAGTCTAAAAGAAGAAAGAAGGTATATAGATTAATCTGAAGGATGACAAAAGGATTCAACAATCCAGCAGCACTCTCACATAAATTTCCGACCAATCCAGAATAGAAAATGAAGGACATATTTCACAATTCTTCTATTTTCGAACTGAAGCAACCCGGTTCAATCAAAATATTTTCCAATTTGATGGCATTAAACAATGTCAACACGTCGGGATGTTGATGTTCCACTATTATTTTTTTAACCAACATCTATCAATAGATTCAATACCAATAATGCAACAGATTCAATGCACGCCAAACAACACAAACAAAATTATTACTGAACAAAAAATGTAGAGCACACATTAACATATTTTCATTGTGAAAATTCGTTCAGAATAAACAGAAAAAATAAACTTACCTCCCTTTATAAATAGATCCTTCAGTTTCAGTCTTGTTTTATACAACATCCAGAGGCATCAGGAAAATAAAACCACAAACAAATGAAAATAATTTTAAGACTTGGGTGACAAATTTTCATCGACCATTGGAAACAATTGGAAAAGACATGGTAGCAAATTCTTTGCCCGGGAAAATATACTTTGATTTGAAGAATAACAAAATATATGCCAACTTGAGTAAGGATATCACAAAAATATAGCATCATGATATAAAATATATGGTCACGAGGGTACAAATGAAACAAACCTTCAGAAAGTGTACAGCCAATTCAGCCTGGAAACCATCTCCCATCTGGATAAGTGCATGATCTGGTTTATTTCGAAGAAGTTTAATTCTCACAATGTTCCCATAAATGGAGAACAAGTTGAACAGTTTATCCTCGTCTATTCTCTGAAATAAACAGATATCAAGCTTACTAAACTGAGAAATGGAGAGAACTTCACAGCAGAAGCCAGACAAAGTGCTTACATCAGGATTAAGATTTGAGACAAGAACTGTACACCTGTCATTTGTCCCAGTTATTCCGGGAGGCAAACCTCCTCCAAAGGCAGCTGCAATAGCTGCAGCATTGGGCATCTATAATTCAAAAAATACTAAAAAAGTAAGTTTTTTTAAAAAAGAAAAGAAAGAAAACAGCTTGTTTTCGTGGGTTTCTGTAGTAAGATTACTAAAAAATATCATGGTAATATGTTCAAATTATCATGTCATTTATCTCAAAATAGAAAGAAATTCCAGAGTTCAGAAAGCAAAATCCCAAAGCACAAACTCCTATCTCTCCCAATCAAACACAATTGGAAGAGCAAGATCAATGTAAAATCAAAGCCCAAACATGAAGATTTTGTTGTGAGATCAACAAAAATTCCCACAAATTGGTTGGCTACAAATACACAAACTTCTTGTTCCATACCTTTCTATTTTAGGAAGATCAGTAAAAGAAGAAATCAACCAGCACAAGTCTAATGCTAGTTTCATAAGATACAAATTGAATGATAATAACTTCTTCATATATTCAACAAGAATATCAAATTGGGACTTCAACTTGATGTGCAAAATACCTGTGGAAATCCAACTGGAAGGGGGTAAAAGGACAAACATCAGTACACCAAAAAAATAACTGAAGATGACAAATAAAGCAAACCAACAAAAGCAGTTTAAAATGTTTAGCACCTGTCCTGGCTCCAGAACCTTGAGCAGCATACATGTTCCCTGCATCACCATATCCAGGCTGCTTAACAGAAGAGGAAAGGGAAAATATATATATTAGAATGGACTTCACAAAGATCAACTAGAAGATTTGATCCATAAATAGATAAATAAAGAACCAAGGAAAACATACTTGTGAAGGTCTGCCTTTCTGCTCTGTAGGGAGATTTGGGTTTGTGAAGTCCCTGTGAAAGATGAGGAACAAATTAGCAACAGTGTGAATCCTAGTATGTTAAGAATAATATGTAAATGAAAACAGATACACAAGATCCAACTGAATCACCTTGAACGGTCATTATTGAAGTTCACTTGTAATTCATCAAGGCTGCAATTAAGATGAATTAAATTTCCATAAAAGAAAATGTGTTTGGTGAGAGGCAAAAGCATACTATAAGTTATATAAACCCACAAGCCAATATGCAACAAAATTGTTTAAACAAAATTTAACCTACTTTGAGAACTGAATGTCAAGCTGACAGCAACCATCATAAATATTGCGACCCTAGAAATTTCCCAAAGTTCAATCAAAATTCAGAAGCAATATCAGAATAAACAAGCAAAGTAAATCTGAAAGCAAATGTTAAACCACCTGAAGTGTACTTCTCGCAATAACTGCACTCTGATGTGATTGATATTGGATGAGAGCCTGAAACCCTACAATTTTTGCAAACACATGATTAAACAATTAGTAAAAATATACAAACTATAAAACTCAAATAAAATATAATGATCATTTTGTTCCATAAAAAATGCAAGAATCGTTGTATCTGATTATAGGGTAAGAGCATATGCATTTTATGTTGAAAAAGAAGCATTCCCTCACATTAAAAACCCAGAGACACCACAAATTCATTTAAATTAAAGAATCTTGTTTTACTATTTTCCCATTTACAAACACAATACAAACCCAACTTTTATCCTACTATGTGGATTCATTACATGTATCAATAGACGGCACCAAGGGACCTTTTCAAATACAAAATGTTCAATGTTTTGTTATTTACATAATATATATACTCAAAACAAGTTATGGCATGACTAGAATATAATTTCAATCCACCTAATTATAGTCCAGAAACAGAAAAAGTTAATAGGGAAGGAAAGAAGAGAAAGGGAGAAATCTGAGAGAATCTGACCAGCTGACTTCTGAAATGTTACAATCTTTTCCACAGATCCATGGGGAGAAAATACTTGATACAGCACATCCACTGTTATAGGATACAGCATGTGATGAATTGTAACTAAGAGAATTCTGTTTGGCTGTGCATCCAGAGTGTTCCCGACAGCAGGACAGCATAGAGAAAGAGAAGAGATAGAGAGAAAGGAGAATAAATAGAGAAGTACATGATAAAGAGAAAGGAAAAGTACAAAATATAACAATTTAACACACTGACCCCACTGAAATGAACAGTCTATGATGACACTACCATGATATAGGAGGAATATGAATATAAAAGAAAAGGTACAAATGCCCAGAAAAAGGGCTGCTCAATTCTCTCTTCTTTTGTAAGCAATCAACAAGAAGCATACAGTTCTCAATCCAAAATATAAACACAAGAAAGGCCAACCTCATCTCCTCGTCCTTGACTTTGATCCATTGTTGTTAGTTCTTGATGAGACGAAAATTGAACATAAACATTCCTCCCCCTAGAACAAAATAAAAATATAGTAAGACTGTTAAGGCAATCTTAATGTGCATGGAATTAAATAGAGCATTACAAATCTCCAAATATGACACCCAAGAGCAAATATCAAGTTATTAAAGATATAGCTGATGCTATCATGTACATTATTGAAAGACAGAAATAAACAAATTATTTGTACCTTATACTTGGCTGAATATTGGCATAAAATTGTAAAGCATTAACTGCAGAAGGAACATCTTGCATTTGGAGAAGAGCCTGCAAATATGGCCGATTTTATAACCGAAAAAAGATGAAATGAAACAACCTCAAGTTTCTAAGGAAAAACAGAGAGTCTTGTTTAAAGGCATGAAAAAGAAAACCTGATTTTTTGCACGCAGCATCACAAGCTTCGTTATGACACCAAAAGGCTGAAATAGCTGAAGTAAATCATTCTGCAATCAAAGTAAGAAAAATTTATAAATCTTTCAAGAACTTTAAAAGTAAACTCTGCTTGTAAAGGAACATAACTCATTCTCCCACTACGACAAACAGTGAGAGCTATAACTAAGAATTAAATACTCATTTCAACTAGGCCGACAACGTCAACCATATACTCTCTCTATCTCTCTCTCTCTCTCTCTCTCTCTCTCTCTCTCTCTCTCGTTCAGTGCGTGTGTTCAGAATCAATCTATTTTAGGAATGGGGCATCAAAGCCAACACAAAATGTTTGCAATCAATAATTAAAATGGAAAATGTAGAACCATTTCCAAGAAGTTCATAAACAGTTCTTTCGGGATAAACGGTTACCACCTTTTCATTCTCCCTCTTGGCTAATGTACATTTCTTATCACTTCAAAATAAAACTTAGCAATCGAGGCGTAGCTAGCCATGCATGATCATAATACCAAAACAAACAGGTACAAACTACAAAGATATCCAACAATAGAGCCAGAGAAAGAGAGAGAGAGTACTTCAGATATTTCGTGCCCCACATTTCGAACGTGAATGACCTTGGAAGGTTCAGTCATTGCAAATTAACCTGTAAAAAGGAGGAAAAATTTTAAAATCATATTAATAATATGGAACGTTTTTCTTACTTGTCCAACCTATGGATAACATCTAACCCCGACATGTATTTAGCCCGAATCAATTTGAAAGCAAGCAACTGAAGTAAAGTTCACATTCGACATGCTCGAAAATTCTCACTCCGAAACTGAATAACACCTCAAAAAAGCTAAGAAGGTATTATCGATTCCAATATTTTGCAAAACCCAATTGGACTAAATCACGATCGATGCCAATAAATCATAAAGCAAGGGAAAAAACGGTGGGACTTCACAGACGAAACACAAATCATGAAAGAAGAACAAAAAAAGAAAGAAATTTTAATCTGACACTCAATGAAAGTCGCATACCCAATTGGAGACCCGAATCAAGGGAGTGAGAAGAAAAAAGAGCAGTAAAGAAAACCAAGGAGAAGAAAAGGGGTATGTCGAAAATCCAGCTCAGAGCCCTAAACTTGCAATAAATTGAGACATCTCAGCATAGAAAACACAGCACATTTCTCCGTTCAAAACAGAGAAGCAGAGAGAGAGAACTTGCCTGAGAGAGTGAGAGAGCGGAAGAGGGGGAAGAGAGAGAAAGTGGTAGAGAGAGAGAGAGAGAGTTAAAGAAGCGTGGCACGCATGATGTCGTGAATCTGTCACCCTATATTATGATATATGTGATGTTATGTTACGTAATTTACTCCGTCACTTGGGCTTTTATATGAGGGAGAACTTTAAGGTTCCAAGTATGAAAGATTTGCTCCTGCTTTTGGTTTCATCACACTCAACAATCCCCAAAACCTATCCATCTGTTTTTGCGTTGGCATTTCGTGCTTATCTCACCAGTACTTTTTTTTTTTTTTTTCATTTTAAGAGCTCAATCGTAAATTGAACTAAACATGTACTTAATTCGTTATTATAATCACAGGATATTAAACTGAATTATAAGTATACGATAGTAACTAGCAAATTAACGGTGCGTCAGGCAGTTGTATTTTTTTATTTTATAATATAAAAGAAAAAAAAGGTTTAGAGATGATGAGTTTGCACCTGGAACGGCAACTCTTTATGATTGTATAGCTGCCTTCTAAGTTATAGGGTATTTGGAGTCTGATCGGTAACACATATATTTCACTTTCTACGTAACGTAACTCAGACTACAGAAACCAAAATTTGTCCAAATCAGAATGAAATTTCAATTATACTTCGTCTTAAACTATCGGAAAGAAGTTTATTTAGTTTCACACAAGCTTTTTCAAGGTAAAAAAAAAAAAAGTAGAGTCTATTTTTTTAATAATATTGATGTACACGTCTTCAGGTTGAAACGTTTTTTATTAAGATGCTCGCCTACATAGCAATGTTATGTCATGAAAAGAAAAGACCAAAAGTAAAATTGATAAAACCAACATAAATCATTACAAGTCTAAGCACGTCATTTATTTTTCATTGAAGATATTATGATATCATCAAGAAAAATTTGTATGAGCACGTTACTTATTAACACAATCGCTTTAAATTTAAAAAAAAAAAAAAAATTAATTATTTTTCAAAAATTCCATAAAAACATGAAATAAATAATCAGTTTTACTCTAACTGGACAACGAAAAAGTTACAGAATGCACATTATTTCTTTAGCTCCCAACTTCACAGCATAAATCAAAAGAACAATGATTGCTACTTAACTATTTCTTTTTCGTTCTTTCCCGTGTACAAGAGTAACATTCAGATACTTGCAGAACACATTCAAAGAGTCCAGTCCCAATGCTTATTACAATACTCCTAAAATTGTAGATACATCGTATGCCCTCTTTTTAAGTGTTTTATTTAATATCCTATTTATCTTTTTTAAATAAACTATTAATCCCTGAATATAAAATACTCCTCCATTTTAGGAAAGGACTTCATAATTTTTAACCGGCTTCCCGTGGCTAGTTTCAACGAAATATCAGATCATAACGTTAATTCCTTAAAAACAGAAAATATAAAATCATAAAAAAAAGGTACAAATCATAAACAAAATTTGAAGTTGAGACACCACCATCAATCTTCCTTGAAACAAAAGTTGGCACAATTATAGGGGAAAAACTCACTAACCAAGGATGGATCCATAACGTCAAACGGAAACACTACAAAGTTTAAAACAGATGGGTAACGGAATATAATTCTAAAAGTACGTTCCAGCACTTCAATCCAATTCGCATAATTATGCTTTGAGGCGTCCATAGAACTTTTGCTTCTCTTGTGTTGTCTGGAAGCGGCCATGCCCAAACTTTGAAGAGGTGTCAATGAACTTGAGTTTGATCTCCTCCAGTGCAACACGAGAAGTCTGCTTCAGCAGGGATTGGCGCAATGTAAGAACCCTCTTCTTGGGACCAACACAGCATCCCTTGACCATGAGATAATCATCCTTCACAACACCATAGTGTGGGAAACCACCCATTGGTGTAATGTCTTTCTCAGTCCTGGCTCAGAAAACAAATAAAATAAGTTTAGTTTAACATACATATTCGTGTACTTAAATGACCAAATTATTTCTTTCTATCCAACAATCCATTGCACGCCACAATTATTGATAAAAAACAATAACCCACCTATCGAACTCAGTAATAGCAGTGTGAGACTCATCTCCACCTTTGCCAAGCTTGTAGATCTTCTTGTTCAACTCAGTTCTGTGGTGGTATCCATTTTGACCAGCCCTGGCAACAGTGAAGGAAACTCTAGCAGGATGCCAGGCACCAATACATGCCACCTTCCTCAAACCCCTGTGAGTCTTACGGGGAAGGCGGGTAACACCCCAACGGGTGACAACACCTTCATAACCCTTACCCTTGGTCACCCCTATGATATCAATCATCTCATCCTTCTGGAACACAGCATCAATAGGAACCTGCTTCTCAAAGAAACTGTATGCAAAGTCCACCTTCTGAGCAATAGTCCCACCATTAACCTGAATTTCCATGATATGGGCTTTCTTTTGTTTCAACCCCTTCATTTTCCTGATCTGTAAGATTAAGACAGAAAAAGTATTATGTTAGAAAAGTAAGAAAAAAAGTCATGATGATTGGAAAATATGGAATTCAACCCACCACATAGAAGCTATGAAGCATAGACTTTCAACACAAATGTCAGAAATGACAAAGCACATATGTATGTGTATATATCGATATATCCTAATATAATAATAAGCCTCGCATAAAATATTACAAGCCATTGTATTACAGTTTAAACATTGGTCTTGTAGCTCAAATTACAGAAACAAGAAGATAGTATAATTCAACCAAGGTATATTCACCTTCTCAAACCAACGTGCTAAATCTCAACCTATTCTCAACAATAATGAGCCTTAAGAAAAATGTAAGAAGCAGTACATCTTGATTTTAAGCTAACTTTTCTAAAAGTTTAAAAAAAATAAATTTTCATAATCTTGGTTTTGCCCATATATAATGAAGTACTTCTACTCAAGTGTCCAAACCATATGGTAGCATTGGCTAGTGTCTTGCACTGACAAAACAATTGTAACTGGACATTTAATGGAGAGTGGCCAGCTAATGTCAGACAAGTGTCAAGAATTGCTTGAGCCAATAATCACAATTTCTTTTAGGCACAAATTTTCTTGAGATGTTAGAAACAATAGGAGTCAGAAATCTCGTGTGGAAAGTGCCGCTCATAGCACCTGATTCTGTGGTGCTGCGTTAGCACAAGAATTTCATCATTCTCATCTCATAAAAAAACAGGACACATAAAAAGGTGAATGGCAGGAAGATAATGCCACATACAAACAAAATCTAGAATGAATTGCTATCACATATGAAATGAAGATGGATACAAAAACTTATGCAAACAATTTTAACAAGGGAACAGTACCTGAGTGTGAGCCAAAACACGGACAACAGTAGCATACTTCTTCAATTTCTCAAGCTGTGCCTCAATATTTTTCTTCCCTTCTTCTGTTTCATACTGCTTTGAGTATTTGGTGAAAGCCTTCTTCTTGGACTTGCACCAGTTCTTGTAGAACCTTCTCTTGATTTCCTCACTCAAATGCTGAGTCCATACAGTGTTCAAAGTGCGCAGACCGCGAGGAGTTTTCACATAACCCACAACACCAACTATAACCATTGGAGGGGTCTCAATAATTGTAACAGGCTCGCAAGTCTCCTTCTTGTGAAGTTCTGATAAAAAAATACAAAATTAGATAAAACATACCATAATCATGAACATTTCTGATGAAACATGTATAAAATGTATCATCTAACAGTAACTGAATGCAATATATCATTAGCATTATAAATTTCAAACCTAAAATTGGATGAAAGCATGGATTTTAACGGAGCCAAAATACATAACAAAAACTAAATTTTATTGCAGTGAGGCAATTCCAGAAGGGCGCAGAAATTAACTGTGTATGTCAAAAAACATGATCTCAATAATCATCAATTCACTGTGATAATTTGAAGAGAAACAACTGGTTTGAAAAATGAAAAACCTGGGAAACATTATGGCAGAAACAATTGGAAAAACAAATAACACCAATAACATTCCTGCGATTGTTGACCAAGTAAGCAGCTGAGTAAAAAACAAGGTTGACAAGCTAACGTATCCAAGTAATAAAAAAATAATGTTTATTGAGATTAGGACTCACTTGATCCCGGCTTCTCGACCTCACGAACAATGTGAGTCATACCAGCCTTGTAACCCAAGAATGCAGTGAGCTTGGGTGCCTTGGTTGGGTCATCCTTGGGGAATGCCTTCACTGCACGAGCAAAATTTACACAATAACAAGTTATAATTGATAGGACAAACAACCCATTCAAAAAGTAATGAACAAAACATTTACATAAGGCTTCAGGCATGAATGTAGTAAGTACAACAGTCACAATAAACATAATAACCAACATAAAGGCAATATATTATTGGATCGCCTCAACAAAATCGTTTTTCACATAACAACCTCCAAATTTTGCTGTGCAAATGCATAACACCAATACACGACAACTGAAAGAACAAAAGATAACATATAAGTAATACTAACCTTTTCCTCTGTGACGAGCAGCACGCTTCCTAGGGAGAAATCCCAGTGAACCGTGCCTTGGGTGTTCGAACTTCCTGTGAGACATCCTTCTCCTCCTTAAAAAGAAAAACATAAGAAAAAGTGAGTAATCTATCCAATAAATAAGAACAAAAGAAGTTAGAAAACAAATCGCTTTCGTTATTGCAATTATTAACGCATTCAGGTTCGGAAATGCAAAATACTACGTGAGAACAACGAATAGAGAAATGGAGAGTGAAATCAACGAATAAATGTGAAAAGATAATGAAAATAATGGTAGGAAAAATGAGAATGTGAGATTGCAGAAGGGAGAAAAGGAGAACCTGAGGTGGCTGCCGCGAGTGAAGTTGTGAGTGGAGAAGCACTGACCTAAAACCCTAACTCTTCTGTGCCTTTTATAGAGTAGGCCTTTTCTTTTTCTATTTTATGGGCCACATGTTGGATCATTCTCACAAAAGCCCATCCTGTCACCACAACAAAAAATATTGGACAAAAAATTCTTTAAGTTATTTATTATTACTGTTATTATAAATACATTTTCGTTGGGTAAAATGAATTACTTGTTTTAAATTATTCAGTTTTTCATCCAAAAAAATTAACAAAAAATATTAAAAATAAAAATCATTTAATAAAAATTTTAAAAATGTATCATTTAAAAAAACATGTTACAACCACTCTCTTTCATAAATCACATTTAAATCTTATTCAAAAAATTTATAGATAATTTATAAAAATATTTTATAATTCCCGTAATAAATTTTTTATTATAATTTATCAAAACAATCTATTTTCAATTTATTAAAATAAACTTTATTGTTAAATTAATGACATAAATTATTATTTTAAATAATTATTTTTTGCGCTAAATACATATTTAATGTACTAATTTTGTGACTAATCTAAAATATTTTGATTTAAAAATTATATTTATTTTACTTTTATATTCTAAAAGTGATAAATTTTAAAAACTTATCATTTTTAATTGCTTAAATTTAATCATAAAAATTTAAATTAATATTTTTCTTTCATGCATGAGGTATTTTATTATTAGAAAAATTAGTATATTGTTTTTTTTTACTTTATTTATTGTTTTTATTTGATTTATTTTTTCTTTTAACTACATTTCTCTATTAAAAGTAATTTTGTTCAAATTAAAATAACCCTATGCATTTTTTTATGGTCTTTTATTTGCTTTATTTTAGTCCTTTAAATATTAATTAAATAAGTTATATTACATTAATTATGTTAATTACATCACCTAATCATAAGAAAAAAACAATAACGATAATAATAATAATAATAATTAAGAAAATAAAAATAATGATTAATAATATTGAAGTTTAATTATAATTTTGCTATCCTTAATTTGATTTTTTCTCCTATAATTTAATTTAAATTTAACTCGGATCGTGCACTTGAACGTGGTAGATTAGTCTATCACTGAAAATATTTTGCATAAACAAATACTCAAATTAAAAATTTTGTTTAAATAATATTAGACTACTTTTCACTTACTAACTTCCGTCGTTCAAATTTAGACTTTTTCAATTTAGCACCTGTTTGACAATGGCATTTAATTTGAAATTACATCATTTTAGTTTTTCTAAATTTGTTACTATTTTTTTACTTTTGTCCCATATTTATAATTGTTGTTTCCTTTTTTCTATTTTGTATTTATTAACATTAACATGCCATCCAAAATTTAACAAAAGTTAATAAAATTGTCTTTAATTATAATCATTTTGTAGCTAAATATATTGACGTGTGTATGTTAATTATGTTGGCAAGCTTATATGTCTAAGGAAGGAAAAAAAATTGAGATAATTTCATTAGAAAATATAAGAGAAATAAAAAGAAACAAAAAACATTTGAGCATGAAATCAAATAACAAAATAAAACTCATTATTCCATTAAAAAATAAATGACATGTTAATACAATTTTTTTTTTAAAGGATCAAAATTACACAAGTGTCAACCAAAATCGCACAATGACAAATTAAGATACTAAAATTCAACATGTACCAAAGTTAGAAAACTAACTGCAAAATAAAAAAGTGGAAAACTATAATAGAATAAATATCAAACTAAAGCATCATAATTACAATTAAACTTAAAATTAAAAACATTTAACAGAAATATAATTAAAAAAATAAAATAATAAAAAAATTAAATCAAAATAAAAATAGAAGAATAACTTTCTTATTATTATCAGTAGTCTTATAAGACAATGATGATCTTACAATCAAATGAATTCCTGCTTTCACGAGAGGTAGATTTAGTTTTGATATTGAACTCCCTTTTCACGAGATAAGCACCACTCCAAATACTTTTAGGAAAGAAAATAAATAAAGTGCAGACATTTAATTATGCAGCTCATATAGAAAAGCTCCCATGGTGATGATTTCCGAAAGCTTTGTTTCCACACGAATTTTGTTATAGCCGACCATTAAAGCATCTGCAATGCACTTTATTTTCATAGTTTGACTATACACTTTTATTTAAATTTGACAACTATCATGCCTTTTTAATAATTTTTTGAAAATATTAACGACAAATAATATAGTAGTGTCAGTAAACTAATCCAAAAATAAATTATATTAACAAAATATAAAAATTTATAAATATTTTATATTGTACTCAATAGAAACTATCATACCTATAGCCTAATTATTTTTTTTAAAAAAATATCACATTCATGCATTATATTATACACCTTGTACTTATATTGGTGTTCACAGATTCATAATAAAAAACATGATAAAAAATTATTTTTTTGTCATTTAAATTAACAAAAAAAAGCTTTGTTATATCTTTTGATATATATATATTTTTATAATATTTTTATCATCCTATAAAATATTAAATAAAAATACACATGTTTTTATCTTTAAAATATAAAATATTTTTAAAAAGTTACACTTTATAACTTTGAAAATCTATGAATATTGAAAAAAAAATTGTTCAAGAAAAAAAAGAGAATAGATTTGATATCTCTTTTAAAAACTGTTTTAAGTTTTTAAAAATAAAGTATAATATGAATTTGTATTACAATTTTTTTAAAAAAACTGAAAACAGTTTTCAAAAGATAAAACAAACACGCTCTAAATAATTTATTTTGATTCTCCATTTCAAGTTTTCAACCCATCCAAATGGTATTTTAAGGACAGTAAAGGGAGTGTCATAAAAATTACTTAAAATTATTAATGGAACAGAGTGAGAACAAAACCACTGCAGATCCCATTTCTCTATTTCGAATTCAAACACATGGAAATATTTATTATTACAAATGAGATACTTTATTCATAGGGAAATTATAAATTACAACCACCTTACTAATCTCGGATTCAATCTTCTGAATACACAAGTATAACAAAGAATAATGAAGCTCTAAAAACAAATGTGAAATGTGTCAGATCATAGTCCTTTGTATCTACACACGCCTGCTACAATTGCCCTTTTGGCTCCGGTGACTATCACCAAGCACTCTATTGCATGCACGAATGTCTTAGACCAAAATTTGTGCATATTGCAGTCATTTTCTGCATAAAAATATGTATCTAACCATCTAGGACTTGCATTTCCTAGTCACAATTCAACCCACAAAGTTCCAACACAATGTCACCTTTTGACAAAAATGGGTTAATCCTAACCCATAGAAGAGAAAAGATTGAAGCCAGAAGAATAGCCCAAACCAAAATTATGGTAGGAACACCTTCTTGTTTTCCCATAACTCCCTTGAGGAATGGGTAAAGATGGAGAATGACCCAAAGAGCAAAAAACAGCTTACCAAAAAGGGGACCCCATGAATCATAGCCATTGTTTATTGCATCTGAAACACCTACAACAACTCCAATTATGTTTATGATAAGTAAGGTCAAAGGAGGGATCAACAATGATGTCCACTTGAAAAGGTAGAGTTCAGCAAATTCTCCATCATCAGCAGCTTTGGATGTGACGGTGAAGTTTGTGTTAACTCCTGCCAGAACCTTGAGCAAACCTTGAAAGAGAGCAAAGAGGTGTGAAGAGGCTCCACCGATGACCCAGAACTGCTCATTCCTCCACCAGTCATGTATGCCAACACCTCCCCATTGCATTTCCAGGATGCCAGTTGCGGCTATAGAGATGAAGAGTGCCATGAAAACAATACTAGCATAGTTGCTAATCTGTTGACAAGAAACTGAAGCATTAGCTTAAAGCACCACACCATGCAACACAACATTTTAATATGTTATGCTTATGAATTCCTAGAATAAAAAAGCTGCATTAATCTAAAGACACTGTTTGGATATGTAACGAGAGGTCGAATGATATGGAATGGAACATAATAAAATTACTTTACCTTGGGTTTTTTAGACAATCTAAACATTGACAACTATAGCATGTTTGATTTCACATTAGAAGACATATGATTCCACGTTTACTTAAATGCTACTAGTTGTAGCTTCTGTGTTGAATCTACATTTACAAGCTTTCTAAACACGCACTACTATCATTTCATTCCATCCCTTTCCAGCAATCAGACATAGCCTTATATGGTAAATCAACATTCACTTCATGCCATCAAATACAAATACAAACAATAAGTGACTTGATCCTACCTCAGGAACTATGAACTTTCCAGTGAGAAGACAGACAGCTGGCAAGGTGCAATAGGCGATTAAGGGAAGTGATGTCAAAGGGTAAACGACCGAGTTTATGTAAGAAAAGCGCTCTAGCCATTTCAAACCACAACCATATCCATACCATATAGGGCAATGCTTACTCAACAAGATCTCAACAGATCCAAGTGCCCAACGAAGAACTTGATGCAGACGATCTGAAAGATTTATAGGAGCTGAACCCTTAAAAGCAGGCCTTTTAGGCATGCAGTACACAGATCGCCACCCATGACAGTGCATCTTGAAACCTGTTAATATATCTTCTGTAACAGAACCATATATCCATCCAACCTGAAAGATAATTGGAAGTTAGCAGAGTTATATAGAGATGCATACATGTAATAAACTCTAACTTAATTTAGGGCTAACTGTACAGGCGGAGTTAGCAAAGAGGAAGAGATACAACATAAGCACAAGTAAGCGGGTCACAAGGAAGTCGGATTCCAATCACAGTGAGTCAAGCCGCTTTCAGTCCTATCAAAGAGCCAAGAGATGTGTCGTATCATACCTCTTTACCCCATTCTGTCTTATCTTCATAACCACAACTGATGACATGGATGGCCTCCTTCAAGAGTGATGCATAAGTTGCTCCTTTTGGAATGCTCCCATCTTCCATAAGCGTTGAAGCTATGAAAACGGGTGATTGCCCAAATTTTTTCTCAAATTTTAGTTGTGACATTAACCATGACTTCTCACTGTCTATTCCTG